ACTATCAAAACTAAACTTAAATATACGAGTATATGATGAATTTTCAAATTATTTATCATTGCATTAAGATACGATTTATATGTATAATGTATATACTTATGAATATTTTGTATTATACAAAAAAAAATTATACTACTGTACAGTGAATCCTGCAAACTGCATACATGTTATATAATAAATAATAATAACAAAACTTAGAAGTACATGGGAACTGGGAAGCCATCAGGTGATGAAACTTTTCAAATGTATTTAAACAACTAACTTAGTAGATCACGATACCAACGCCTTTTGAGACAATAGGGTAGATTGTCAGGTAGAGTAAAAAATATATATAGTGTAGAGGAGTGAGTAGCCGAATGGTTGCCGTTTAAATGTATGATTATCCCACGGGTCGAATTGGTTTTCGCTTTTTAATTACTCACATTTCCCTTCCTAATTTTACAGGCTTATATAGTACTGTCAACTTTCAGGTGTTAAAAAGTTCCTACCTGTTTCCGCGTTTTCGATCGGGGAAAAAAAGTACTGTCAACTTTAAGTAGGCATGGTTAAAATATACATTAGTGATCGTTGAAATGGAAGTCAAATAAAAAATAAAATAAAATTTAAGATTGTTGAGCTGATAGCATTAGGTTAAACTAACTTTGCAAATTTGTAGTAGACTTTCTTCGAATATTCTGATTGTGTAAATTCCCCATTAATGAAGTCAGTCATACAATTTTCCAAGTATTGGTTTTTTTTTCTTGTTGTCTGGTATAAGTTCCTTCGTATTACTACAGCAAAATTTAATTTTTAAATACTGTTATTCAGTCTCATAAAATAAAAATAAATATTAGGATGGGCATTAGTCAATTCTTTATATGAATTCATATTGCAAGCTATTGCTTGAAAATTAAAGTAATTATTTTAAGTGAACAGAAAAGTTGACCAATGTCCAATTCAGCTCATCTGAAAAAAATAACTTTTTTCAAACGGTAACTACTTTGGCATGTGCGATATTAGGTATATTTTACTATACGAATAAACTAGGTATACTTAAATTATGATTATTATCCATTAGTTCTCAATGGTCACAATTCTTGGACTATTGACTTCGAATACCTATGTAATATCTCTTTTTAGTTTTTTCATGTACCTACCCTTGCTTATAAATATTAAATTAAACTGGGATATTGCAATAACCTACTATTTTATTCGTGGTGATAATGTGCACTGTATAATATATTAATATCGTTATTTTTATATACCTACATTATGCACATATGTATATACAGTTGTATACACAACACACATATTATTATATGATATGTACTTTGCGTAGGAAATATATAGTAGGAAGGTACCATATACTTATATTGCATATTATATCGTGCACATGCAGTAGGGGAGCAATGAAAAATTATCTTTAATAAAGAATACTGATGTGGAGAGTGGAGACACGCTGTATACATAGTCGAGTGAATGTCTGCGAGATAAGACCATGTATGTCCATACACTACGATATTATAGGTATCTATTTCATAATATTATACAGCAGCTTATTCCTCTTTCATATGTATATAGTATATTGTTATTGTATATATATACATTATACACATACATTATACATGTATAATAAACAATATTACTATACTATATATAGTTAAACGAGCCATACGACGAACATATTGTATGCACACAATAATATATACCTATGCGGCTGTACTTACAATACGTTTATGATATAGGTATCTTTAATAGGGGTTTCAAAACTATGAACAAGTATTTTGACTGGACCACTAACTGCAGGGGAGCATACTACTTGCGTCCGAAATTATTATCAGTAGGTGATGAGTTGCGTCCCGCAAAAAAAAAAGATTCAAAAAGGTCATAGCGTATTTGCGTCCCGGTATACCTTTTTCTATGACCTAATTGTTTCCCGAAAATATCGATATAATCGATATAAAAATGTACATTGATGATACAAATTTAATTTATAATAATAACAATATAAAAATGGTTATAATAAATTATCAGTTCAATTCAATTGCAATATTAATAATAATAATAATAATAATAATATAAAAATGCATGTTATACCTACATTTTGTCATAATAAAAATAGTATAATATAATAAAAAATAATAAAAAAATGCCTGTTAAACATTTTGTCATAATAAATCATTACCGAATCATACTGAATTTACAATTTATGAACTATCGGTTTTAGTGACATGATACTATCGATTTTAATGATTTCTGAAGATAATATTGATAGTAATAATATGGCTGATTTGCGTCCCCCAAAACGGGACGCAACTTACCGATCAAATTTACTACCTGAAAAACATATTTTTTTTTGGGACGCAAGTAACATGCAGCCAACTGCAGTGAATAATAAATTCAAACATAAACTATTAGTATAATTATATATTGCTTTTTATTGCGAGCTTTATTTACGAAGTACATTGTACATACAAAGCGCTTCTATTATATATTTAATATTAATCACGACAACTACAATAAAGACAGATAAAATACACAAATTTAATTTAAATGTTTCTTATTTATGCAATATATCCACGGATTAAGATACAATTAATACCTTCATTATTCGTGCACTATTATCTATAAACCAGTGGCGAGCAACTGCCGAGGGTCCCCAATCATTGAACACCAAATCCAAATGAAAAAGTAAAATACTAAATTACTACGTATACCTATAGGTTGTATTATTTTATACTACGTACAATTATTTTTTACCAACAGTGACATCAATCGTAATGTCATAGGTATATACTACAAGATGAGATGCAGACCAACGGCTGTGTCAGATCTTAATTATTTAATTAAATAATAAAGTGCGAAATTGCCTAAAATTAATGAGTTAATTTATTATATTTTATACGAATATAAAATGTATTGTATAACATAAACTTATGTAATGTTTTATGACGGTAAGGGGTAGCTTCATCACAGTAAATACATTTGGAGGTCGTGGATTAAAAAAGGCTGAACACCGCTGCTGCAGGTCTAAATAATAACAGCGCAGGCGTACTGAACTGAGCATAACAATATAATATGCAGTAAAGATGACTTGTAGATCAACAACTATCAATGATAGGTGTGCTTATGTGTTAGTGGTCCAATCTGAGGCAATGGACATTGGACAGCCCTGCGAATTCAAATTAACTCAAGAGTCAGAACTAATATTTTTTATGTAGTGGGGAAGAGGGTAGACTGGGTAGAGGTTTTATTGTAAATCCATATTTTTATTGGAGTGAGATATTTTAAATCTGATAAAAAATGTGTACGATTTAGATCAAATCTAATTGAAATAAACCCCAATTTAGTATATACACTTCATATTTGTACATATTTTGATATAAGTACATAAACTTGTAAAAATATAAGTATATAGCATTATTATATATGATTATATATTTATATAATATATATATATAACTTGATGTTTGTATACTCTAATTCACGTGAATTTGTATTGTAGTTGTTTATTAGTTTGTCTTTGTACATCAAATTTACAAAGTAATTGTAAATTTTCGTTAATTTTAAGATTTTGATTAATATTGTCAACAGTTATTGAACATCAGATGCCAATCTTTAATATTTATGAACTTCCAAATTATGAGGAACCTACGGCATTCAATTATGAAGCATTTTACTTAAAATGTTTTCATCGAGAACAATTTTTAAAAAATTAACAAAATTCGAACCATTTCTTAAGGTTTATAATAGCTCATAAATTAAGAGTCAAAATGTTTCTAAAATGTTTTCATATAATATAGAAAATGCTTAGGTACATAAATATTTGGTGTACATTTCAAGTGTTTACGGTTATAAGTTTTTGAGTTATAAGGTATAGGTGCTTACTAAAAAATAAAACCTTTTTTTTCTAAAATTGATTTTCCGTAAAAATTAGTGTTTTTTTTTGTTTTTTTAGAAGCTTTATACTATAAGTATTTTCAACCCCTTAAAAGTACCGACTAGATCACTTTTCCACGAGAGAACACGCTGAATTGCTGATGTCGTAAATCGGACTAATCGGAGCATGTTTATTACCCCTACAATGTTGACGTCAGACAAAAAAAACACACAATATTATCATTGCAAATACAATATATATCCCTGGACGTTTTTTACTCGCTACACGAAGCTTACAGCAGGCAGCAGCCCAAGTAGGCATATAACATTAATAATATAATATGTACCACGAATAAAATACCGCGGTACACCGTACGGGTACCGGGTACATCGTATAATATGCAATATGCAAATCGGAGAAACCTCACGTCACCGCCGTCGTCGGGCACACGAGCGACATATTATATGCGATGATGCGGAAAACGGAAACGATACCATGGCACTGCGGCGATGTCATATTATTATATATTATTACCTATATTTCACGCATAACGAAGTGGAGCGAGCGTATGTATGCGCAATATAGGTATGGGCAGACACGCAGCAGCGTATACCTATATTATGACGTCTGAATATTACACGCGGTAGCGGGGCGGACGGGCGGCGGCGACGCGTCTTCGGCGTCATACGCGTGTAGATCATGCGTTATATCCGCCGACATCGCGCGACTTAAACGTCGATAAAACGGGTGGCCCCGGCGGCGGGCGAGTGGCGACATCGACGATAGCGTTTCCGCATGTATAGATGAGGTACCTCCATATCATTATATTGTGTGTGCGCACTGCGCGCGCGATCCGCGTGTCCCCGTCGGCGAGACGACGCCGCACCACACGCCGCCGCAGGAAATGAAAACTGCTCCGGCTTGACGTGGTGCCCGGTACGGGTGTGTAAGTTGCGCGCGGTTGGCGAGGGGGGTGAGAGAGTGAGCGCGAGCAATAGCGCACCCCCTCCCATTGGACGGCCGACCGATCGATGGGCCGTCCCGGGCTCCAACGGACGCGTCCGGTGGGCGTGCCGGTGCTCGGGGCGACAACGCCATCGACGCCGCCGCCGTGGCCGTCCCACGCGACTTGTGCAGTCGTGGTGTTGTAGCGGTGCAGCGACGGCGTCGACGGCGGTGACGATTGACGATCGCGGACACCGCAGTTCTGTGCTATAATAATAATAATAATAACAATATTGTCGTTTCGCACTGAAACCGCCGTGGTGCAAGACGGCCGCCCGCGCAGACCGAACGTCGCACAGATCGTTGTATGATAAATATATATATATATAGGTGCTGTGCAATAACGTGACGGAAGTGCCACCGCCAAATACGTTCTTGTAAAAATACACACACTGCACCGGCTGTCCGTTTCGACTGCGCCACAAACCCGGCCCGGTCAAATGATGCTGGACATACTGCACCGGCACGTCGTCAGGGACATGGACGGGTTTCCCAGAATCTCCAACTGTGAGTATATTTACATATTATTGCTGTGCACTAAACCTATAGAGATGTATTATAAATTTAATATTGTACTGCGTATTAACGTACAAAAGCGTACAACAAGTAACGATGTGTTATACGTGGGGTGTCGTGAGCGTCTTTCGATATTTCTATAATATTTATGCCTTTAAGGCAGTGACGTATAGTTGTAAGTTATAACATGATATTTTATAAATCGGTGTACGGCCGAATATGCCCACCCGCGGCGAGTGTTTGGAGTCAGTCTTTTTTGAGATCTCAGGACTCGTCGCTGTCAACATTGTAACTCAATTACTATAAAACAGTTTTGGCTTTACGTTCAAATGATCAAGTCAATCTACAGTACAAGTAATACTACGACAGGCGGAGGTATATGTGTGTGTAGATTTTGTATGTAGTAGGTCTGACCTATAAAAAGTCCTATTTTTCTTCTATCCACCCTCCCACCCACGTTTAAGGTGTTGCCTGAGCATCACACTTGGACCCTATGTTACACGCCACTGGACTTACGTGTAACCCATCACTTATTCTCTTTTAAATTGTCCGTATCTTAGTACACGCAGTACAAGTAGTACAATTATTAATGTCTTCATTTATTAAGTATAAATAAGTGTTACTAATTTCTATCGGCATAAATTGAGGATAACGCCGATATAAAAATATTATTGTGCGATATTGAAATGTCCCAACACTCGCAAGTGTTACCTGTCTTACTCACGCCATACCATGGCAAATCTATACCGACACTACGTCTTGTCGGATTCTTCTTTCCGCCGTCCATTGAAAGTTAACATTATAGAACAATATTTCACTTAGCCCGATATATTTTGTAGAAGTATAGTTACTAATCTCAACTGAACGCAGATAGTTTTTTTCCGTATTTTAATTTTAATCTCAGTTGCAAATAAGACGTACAGTATGGTGACCGTTTTAAATCACTTAACCAATTCAATTTTTTCAAATTTATATGAATTGAAAAACTAATACTTTTGCAAATAATAAAACATATGTTCGTTTCTGCCATGGGTTTTGCTTTTTACACCGTATCATAGGTAATCCCCAGTTCACGACCGACGGCATGGTATTTCCTAGAACTGTCGGCGTGGAAGAGCGACTGGTTATTATTTCGGTACGTATCTCTTGCCCGTAATTCGTATTCGCCGTATTATTGGATATTTATAAAATTAAAGTACAAACTATGATGTAAAAATAAAACATCTACATAAACTGTCGACATCAAATTACGGAATAATGTTTTTTTTTTTTTTAATACGACCAATAACAAATATTATTAAATTGTAGGTAGGTACGTAATATTTTTTTGTCGGCGAGTATATGAGATGCTGTCGGACCAGCCAAGGAATTGGTCCTGTAAACCTTTTTAAATATTAGAATAGGAAACATCTTGCAAAACACCTTGCAACCCCAAATTACGCCACTACTTTTATTTTTTTTTTACTCCTAAATGTTAATACATGTGTGCCAGCGTATTTATTCACTGTACCTATAATATTCGATAGAAACGATTACAACGATCTTTATTAATGTATAGATATCTATAATAATATGAACTTGTTATATATTTGCTAAACTACAGTGGTGTAATTAGGAATTTTTTCTGTGGAGATAGACGTTTTATTACCATGCGCATACCAATTTATAGATTCCTTGATATTCATTAGGTACATTAATAAGTAAATATAATATTTAAATATAGCGATGTCAGAACATAACCCCACAAGTTTCAAATAGCTAAATATATATGTATACCTATGTCCTATATTATAAAGGGTCTGCGAGGATCTATACCCCTCATTCCCCCATCCCCCCGTAATCCGTATTACACCCCTGCTAAACTATGAGTATTTTTATAGATACCTAAATCCAATTATTCATAATACGACTTCGCACATGTATATTGTACAATTTACGCCTGTAGCAGTGGCTTCATTTCAGTTTTTGAGATGGGCCATGGGGGCAACAATATTTTGATCGACCCATACGCTCGCTAACAATTACATTATAATTACAATTACATCTCTACATCTCAGTACAAATAGCCTTCTTCTTATGAATACAATTGAAACGTCAAACAATGGCTAGGTAAACCAAACGAGTAACGACAGTCGACAATTAACAATAGACATTAAACACGGAAGGCCCTTACTATCTGTTAAATACTCATCCTGATAACACACAACACACCATACACCAGGGTTGTCCATTATTTAATATTCATAAATTAGAAATACATAATAATATCATTGATTATAATATATACTATAATAAAATAATAATAAATACCTCAATACAAATAATAAATATACTATGTAATCAATGATAATGTTCAGATACCCTATAATTATTTACGTATTAGCACTAGCCACGAACGATGGTTTAATGTTATTTAGCAATGACATGAATCGTGTTTTCCAAGGGCTTGAGGGCTGCAGTCCAAAACTTGTCCGACACTAGCCCATATTCGGCCCGATAGCAGCCCTCTAATAACAAGGGGGTGGGCAAATTCCCACCCTCCTCCACAAATAACGTCACTGGCCTGTAGGATTTTAAAATCCAATAATTAATTGAAATTTTGTGTAGGTGTACACTTAATAATATATATGATCTATGATTTGATGTTATATCGAATTGATCGCCAATATATACGTTCAAACGTTATTGTTTAAGCATATGTATTATATATGTGCAACAAGTACTTAGGTGCTTTACTAATATTACAAACACCGTGTATAGACGTATAAATGTATACCAATATAACTATGTATAAAACAAAAGGATCAACCGAGTGTTTTAGTCCCTGTAGGGTATGGAAATTATACAATACAAATATAGGTTCATTATAATATATACAATACATCGTGTTTATGAAGCAATGTGAATAACTTTATACATAATTAACTTCATATTTCGTTACCTAATAGTTAAAACATTATTCTAATTTATTAATAAACCGCTTGTGTATGTATTTTTATGTACATATTAATATATTATAGCAGCTATACTCCGTGTATAATATCATTGTTTTTTTTTTTATATATATTAATCAATCTTTACAATTGTTGTATCATAATCTTATATGAGGTTAAGAACTACCTAAGTTTAGCTTGGTGTCTTGAGGCGAGGATACGCGAACATTCTAATCCTCTTATCTCGAAAATCACTTCACATACACTTTTAGAAACCCCCGAGAGAATGAAATGGCCTAGGGATTTTCTTTATTCAACTAACTAACGCAATTTGATCTACTCAAATGACTTAACGTTACTACCTTTTTATAATTCTCTTTTATTATAAGTGTAATTATTATTTTATCTTCTTTCTTTGTGTAAATTGAAATAAATGACGCTGAAGTGTGATATTATGCAGCTATTCAGTATTCACCCACTCTCCGCTACGGAGTTTACGTAGGTACCTCATATCCTCTCATGATACTTTTTTCTGTAACTGTAGATTGTGGATTTATAAAAAATAAGCTAGGTAAACATTTAATTTATAACTTATTAGTTCATATTATGACCTGTGACTTATGACGTATGTGATATGTTCATATTATTATACCTATACTAATGTATTGTTTTCTGGTTTCTGTAACGCTTATATTATTTTTAACGTGGACATTTTTTATAATATTGAGAAATTAAATTATTTAAAATAAAATATTATCCTTGGATAGTACCTGTATAGACTAGGAATATCATCCATAAAATATTATCATATTAATTGACCAGTCATAACAATCAATAATTCAATGATTGTGAAATGTTGGTAACTGAGAATATTAGCAAATTGATTGATGTAGTGAAGCGAATAAGCGATAAGAATTCTGAAAACAGATTGGAATTTGTCATGAAGTCTCATTGAGATTGGCTTTACAACATTTTTGATTTTAGTTTCTAAGCGGAGCGATGAATGTATTGATTTTACAATGATGTGTGTTTTTCTGTAACCATAAAATATTAAAAAATATTAACATAGCATTTTTATAGTTTTATGTTCAAATTTGGACGAAATTACATAGTAAATAACTAAGAATAATGATTTAAGTTATTTTGTTTTAATTTAAAAATATTATTCTTGGGTAGGTACTTGAAACTTTTAAAGTAGGTATATTATTAAATTGTATACACAGAATGATTTTTCAAATGAAAGTTTTTGGCAAAAATGAATTTAACCTACTCTAGTACATTACTTAAATCACAATAATCACAGCAATATCATCAAATTAAACACCATTCATTACAGTGACCCCCTTTCGTCTATACTGTACAGCAGAGCGCATCCATTTATCCGATTTGTTGATTTTAACTTCTCCAAAAATTGAATTTTGAACATTTTTTAATTACTTACTCTTTTTCAATATAACGTTTTTAGGAAATTGGGGCTTAGTATCAGTAATGAGGGAAAGCCCATCTCAAGTACTCTTGACGGCAAATTCATAGCTGTTTTTAGAATTCTTATCGCATCATTAGATCAATTGGTACGTTTGGCAAAAAACATGTCTGAAATCCATGTCTCATGTGTGTTAGAGAAAGACAGGAAATCACGGTATCGAATCCCATTAACAAACAAGTATTCGCTAGGTACCTGTATGTATTTTATAACCGGAAACTCACGGATAATAATAACCTGCCCCAATACGATTGCAATACCTACACCACATTATAAGGAAACGAACATCAAAGTGTGATAAAAATAAAACATTCGGTAAATAGGGGTCTGATAAAATATTATTTCTAGCAATGGAAAGTATAATAGGTAGTAGGTACACACAAAACTATAAATCACCAACATTTACACTTTTTCTCGATTTTATTTTTATAGCTACGAATTCACAAGTATGGTCGTACACTCGTTCAACATCATAATATAATATTATTATATAGACAATCCGTCAAGAACTTATATAATATACTACCTACTCGAGTAAATTAGGGGTGAGGTTTTAATAAAATATTTTATTTACATAGGTATTGTATATAAAGGCACTATACACAGAACTTAAAGTAGAAAAAATAATATGAGAGGGGGATGTGATTCTCTATATAGTCATAACCGTTATAGACTTGTATACTTACATCATACATATATATTTATAGTGTTGTATACACACTATAATATTTAAAAAAAAATTGATTTTCAGACAATTATTAGCTTGTCTGTCGAGTTATCGTAGATTTAAGATTTTTAAGCACAGTAAAGCTGCGTAGGCGATGAAAGTATTTGAAATAAGTGCCATTATAAATACCACGAACTTAAAATTCTGACTTAAAAACTAACTACTGACGATCTACCTAAAACGTTAACATCAAGTAGAAAAGATAATTGTAGGCACTATTTTGTTTGATTGTTTGTTTGGCTAATTGATAAATAAACGCCATAACTAGTAGTTATTTTTTTTGTTTTAAATTCTATGTGTAATCACTAATTATCTATAACAGTTTAACTTATTCAAAAATGTTAACGTTACGTTGTTGCCAGATATGTACGATATAATTTTAATATAGAATATTCAATTTTTATAATATTAATTTTTAAGTTCAAATTTGGACAAAATTAGGTATTTAAACAATGAATAACGATTTTAGTTGTTTTGTTGTACTTTAAAAATACTATTCCTGAAACTTTAAAATTATATTAATATATTTTGTTTACACAATGACATTTTCAAATCATACTACTAGTATATATACTATTTACACAATAAATGTTATTTACGAATTTTAATATACGGTGTCGACGGTGTCGTATTACTATCTGCTTGTCAATTATGTCTGCGCGTGATTTGACGGTGTCCTTATTGTCTCTTTTTTCACCGATAAACAATCGACGTTCTACTATATTATTATCACGTCTACAACACATTCCAAACACCCACGGCCCCTGTACGCGTACACCGTAATTCCGATTAGTTATTTCAGTATCAGTATCAGAACTGCTAGATTCTGATACCACAAGTTCTTCTCTAGGCTTATGACCTACTATACAGACGTATATAGGCAACCACGGTTATACGCTTATACTCCGCTTGCGTAAAATAAAGATTCGTCCGTTTGCACTTGGATTCCTACAACACCGATTTTCGCAAGTTTTTCAAATATTGGTCTACACAAAGATTATACTCAGCAATCAGTATATTATATTTATCATTATAAAAGTCGGTATAATTGCCCCCGCTCTATCGCCTACCGGATTTCGGGAGCTTCGACCCCGTCTCCGTAGTGGGTTAAAATTAGTATAATACCCAGGTAATGGTGTAGTGTAATATTTATCATCGCACGTTTGATCGTGATTTCGGTGACAATAGTGTAACACGGTGTGCAGCACACAAGAAAATAACAATAATTGAGTGATGGTATTGATTTGTTGTTGCCAGCAGACGGCGATTGTGGCGAAGGCCCGGCGAGTTGCGAGGGCTGCGGAACGAAGATCGTGGACAGGTTCTTGATGCGAGTGGGCACGAGCAGCTGGCACGAGCAGTGCGTCACATGTTCGGCGTGCGGCGTCCCACTGGCCAAGTCGTGCTACTACCGGCACAACGGATTGTACTGCAAAAACGACTATGACAGGTAACTTGCAAGTATTGGAACTATCGGTCGCCACAACATTATGCTGTGTACAAAATATATTACATATCAATATTATATACTACTATATTATACGCACAATATGCATCGTCTGCCCCGACGTCGCACGCGGCATGTGGTGGTCAGTACACCTTGAACTTGTATACATTTTAGTAGGAATATTATTGCCTATTATTATGACGTAGTAACCTAACGGCATGTATAATCCCGACTTGCAATGCACACACAACCCCACACACGTGGCATTTATAATAATATAAAGATTGCTCTGTGCCAGACACGGATCCTGAGCAAATTACTGGCGGGGGGGGGGCACAATTTTTTGTTAATGTAAAATTACAGTATTGGAATCACTGTCCACCACGAACTAAGATAGTACCATCGTAGTTTGTGCATCCCAGAATGATTCGTATAATAATATATTATGATATCAGACACACATGTAATTTGAAATATGGTAATACCAGGATCTGTAGATTTATTAAAAAAAATTTGGGAAATTATATGTCTGGGGGAGGGGTGGGGGGTCTGTGCTACACGACCAAACGTTCATCGCCCGATTACTATATTGGAACCTATTTCTGCAAGACTCTTTCGACCCACATGGAACGTATACCTAACTACCTGAGACGATTTTGCGAGTTATAGTTATTTGCACCGTTGTAAGGTGCACCTAGTCGAATTTAGTGTTTGTAATTTGCACCAAAATGAGTGCTTATGTTTTCGATTACCTGCAAGTATTCAATTATTCGTCGATTATTTTATATTCATTATACTGAATATTTGACTGACAATATTATTGTTTTTAATATTAAGACTTTATTTATATAATGCACTGTAAAATACAAACTTATAATTAATTTATTACATGTATATTATAGTTACAACAATCGCCGTAAACTCAGTCTGTATCGTGAGAGTTATAAGTTCTATACGAAATAGTGATCTTATACCTATAAATCTATTAATTTTCCACATGTTTTATGAATAAAAACCAAGCCAAAGTATTTATGTTAGAATTATAGACACTTTTTTTATCAAAATCTAAATTGCATATAAATATTGTAAACCATTAAACGTGTTGTAAAATTATATTTTTATCTAAAATAACGTTATTATAATAATATAAATATATAATTATGTTCGTTGTGTATTATTGTTATGACTTAAAGTGCAGAATTTATGTCAATACAGACATACCTTAAAACGGTGTAAGTGCGGTGGGGGGATATATAACCCCTAACTTCTCCCCCCCCCCCCGGGGGGCACGCCTCTGGATCCGTGTACATTTTTTGCGATGCTTCATTAATGAACAGGTGTCAGGCACTTCGAAAATACTTTATTACGAGTGTGAGTAACGTGTTTATCGCCTGTTTCAGACTATTCGGCGTCAAATGCGGTCGGTGTGGCGAGCCTTTGGGAGCCAGAGAGCTCGTTATGCGCGCTGGCCCCAGTCACGTCTATCACGTGGGATGTTTCGCGTGCGTTGCTTGCATGCAACCATTACAGAAAGGCCAGCAGTACGTGGTCAAAGCCGGCGGTGGACAACTGTTTTGCCGTACAGACTTCGAAAAGGAAATATTTCTCATGCAACAGACCGTTGGAAGTCCACAACCAGGTAAACTGTTTTGTACACAACGAGCATTGACGTATTTGACGTATTTTTCGTACATAGTTGGTATAATGACTATAGGTCCCGCCCTCCACCTGCGTACCTGCTATAATACTGCTAATGTATATCACTAATTATTATAGTCTCGTATTTAACCACCAATATTATGTAATTTAAATAATTTTATGTTTATTTTGAGTTATGCACCACTACGCATTAGTGCATTAACTTGAATTATACATAAATGTACGAAGTAGATAATAATGTTTAAAATATTTCGCTGTTTTAACGAAAATACTTCGTTGTTTTTGTTTAGACGATAGTCTAACTCTGGACGAGAACTGTAGGCCTCGAGACGGCCGCCGTGGACCGAAAAGACCCAGAACCATATTGACTTCGGTACAACGACGGCAGTTCAAAGCTTCATTCGAAGTCAGTCCAAAACCCTGTAGAAAGGTAAGTTCGTGTATTTTTAATGTTCACTGCAGTATTGAGATAATTATAAAGACGCACATAAATATATAATAATATATTTTGTTCATGTTTTACAAGTTACTACGTAGCTATAATGTCTTATTATTTCATCGCTGGATGGGAACAGTCTTAAACTCACACTTCGTTTAAATCCAACTGTTTATCATTACGTTTACTTACTCTGTATAACACTGTTTATATTAATTTTATCGAAAAAAGTTGTACATTTATTTATAATATACGTAGCAGCGTGGTATTTTATTTTATGGAATTTTTGTTCAGGTACGAGAAGCGCTGGCTAAAGACACGGGATTAAGTGTGCGAGTTGTGCAAGTATGGTTTCAAAATCAGAGAGCCAAAATGAAGAAAATCCAAAGAAAGAGTAAACAAGACGATAAAAATACGAACAATAACAACGCGAACAATACGGATAAAAATGAAACTGAGCACGCAACGAATACCACATCTAGCGTATGTTCTGGAGGTATAGTACACATCATAATATCACATTATATATTTGTATTGGACATTGATATTGACTCAAATTTGAATTAATTACCGACATGATGAAAAACTATAATATGATATTTTGGTTTTACATATATTTAAGTTTTAAAAGGGCCAGGCCCAATTTCATAAATTAGATAATAATAACAATCGTTCGTGAATATAATAAATGAAAAATATTTCCCGTCACTTATGTAAGTTATATACTTATATCCGAATAAATTACATACTAATACCTACAAAGCTTATATATAAATCGTAAAATATATGATTTATTGAAAACAAGAATTTGAAAGCCTTATACTTACAACTTAATAATTACTAATACACGTACCTACTAGAACTTAATAGTAAATACCTACTTTGTTGCATTTTAAATAATTTTTGACTGCTATATAGGTAAAGTCTAAAAGTTCGTCTGTTTTTGTCTGTAGATCATTATTTGAGCTTGAGTACGCTGAGCATGCACGACAGCAGTGACTCGAACTATCAGAACAGCCAGCCACTGAAACCCAACATACCGTACTCGCCCGAAGGTAAATAATATTCGCGCGCTAATTATGCCGAGAACAATGTGAACCGTTTATTCGTGGAAGGCTGTATAATAATTCACTTTGAAAATCAAACTGCTATAGAGCTGGTTATAAAATGTTTTTGGTAAAACCTGTTGATCTGAAGTTTGAATGAGCCATTCAGTTTATACATTTTTTTAATCACATTTTAATTGTATTACACTGCTCAAAAAAGTTTGTTATTCTCATTATACTTTTCAGACCTTTCTGTACCCTTTTATTACAAATAATAATAATAATAATAATAATAATAATAATAATAATGATTAACCAATCCGCCTATGTGTTATATCTATAACATACGATAATATTATAATATCTAACCCAATGTATCCTTGTGGGTTGCTGCAGGTACATACACCGGCGACCATTCGGTGGACAGTTTCTGCAGTTCGGACGTGTCCCTGGACGGCAGCACCACGGCGGCGGACGAGATCGGTTCCGATACCATGTCACTAGACCTGTCCGTCCACCACGGGACCCACAACCAAAACGTGCATCACCAAAATCACCACCATCACCACCATCACCATCACGTCGGCGGTGCCGCGTCCGTGTTGCCGGGCCAGCAGATCAACCCCATCGACAAACTGTATCTGATGCAAAACTCGTACTTCAACAGCAACGACCATTAAATAATATTACCTATATAATAAATATACACACCCACTCATATATATATATATATGTATATTATGCATAATTATTATTGTTCTATGTTATAATTATCTCGTATATTATAGTGCACAGGCAATTGCAGTGTTGTTGGTAATTATTGCGGACTTGATTAATCGGTTAGGGTCCTGCCCTATTGCCCGCCATCACTGTTTCGAATATTCATTATATTACATAAAATATATAATATATGACATGACCGGACGACAGACTTTAGTGTATTTTTAGTGTCTCCGCATTCACAATACTCGTATTATAAATCATTCTTGTAAGACGTATATAATGTTTATAAGTCGTAATATTATCAATGATAATTTGTCATGCATTGGAACCTTTGTGGCTGTTTATGGTCCTGTCTTATTATACTGTTCTACTGCAGGGTGTTACAGAAATAACTTACAAATACAAAAAACCACCCATGCAATAAATGCTGCCCTAATCAGTATTTATAAAAATAAAGGGATATATATATATATATATATATATTATAATCGTTATTATTGATGATAATTTTACTAACATTTTTTATTTTTATTTTCTTAAGAACAACAATTATGATTGCCATTTCATTGGTTACAACTAACATTCTGTCAGTTATTCCTGTTACACCTCGTATAATATGAATATCATATACCTAAGTACTATGTGTTGTAAACATTGTTATATCAACTATAAGACACAGGTTTTTTGACTTCATTATGAAAGACTGTACACGTCATATGCAATTTTGAAGGAGCCCTTTACTTATGTGCAGAGTTCAGTTATTGCTTAAGGTCTAATATATTATAAATGTGTTGTAATTTCTATATTATCTGTAAATATATACCTATATATTATATATTTATGTAATATATACTTTCATACTGTTATCAATGTTATTTGTATTTTATCGCATTATTTAATATGAAATTTAGATGTATACTTAATTTATAGTCATGTAGTTTTACTGTAGTTAACTAAGAAAATGCCCTTAAATTAATATTTATGTTAAGAAACTACCTATAGACTATAGTATCTATACAGTATACACATATGTGTGTGAGTACACACACAAGCTATACTAATCAATAACAATGTGGTATTTATTGTGATTATAATGAATAATATTCATTTGAAATTCTTGTAAAAAATCTCTCGTGAAATTAATTTTATGTTTACTACTATTTATAAAATGTATGTAATCTTGTAAACTTATTTAGTGCACTTAAATCGACAAGTTGGGCAACATTTTAGGTAGTTAATTAATATGTGAAAATACAGTGTAAACGATTAATGAAATCGTAAATAAAAAATGCTAATCAGAATATATTATGTATACATTGATGTAGTTTGTGCTACGTTAGAATATTAAAATCTATCAAATATCAATGAGTTTTCACAGGAAATTTAATCAAGTGACATATTATTATGCCAATAATACAAGTTCAGTAAACTTTCAGGCCTGACAACAAACTATAAAATAGATTGGCATATGATGTCAAAGATGAACTTATAAAACTCGTGAATTACTAGAATCTAGATTATACCTATGATATGGGATGTCAGGACTTGGGAAACTGCAGTCAATTCTTGTAGAAATTTAGAATATTTAAAAAAAAACACCTGTCCGTAGATTTAGAACAAGATTGTTTTTTAACGTTCTATGAAGTATCAAACTATACAAAACGAACAGTAAGAAGTTGTGGAGATCGGAGATCGATAAATTATCAACATAAGAGACAACAGCAACTAATGAAGTTTAATAATACACAAAACGTGAAATCTAATAATCGTGCATAAATATTAAATGCATACTGCAGTATTCGGCACGGACGGCTCCGGGGAAGGCCTGGGAACCGTAGCCTCCTCCCAAGCCCGTATTTCTAAAAAAAATATACCTACTAGAATATCAAAACTTTTCTGAAAATTATGACAGCCCCCAAAAATCTCCGGAGCCACCCCTGGTATTCAGCTCAATGGTCATCGAGAAATACTTACGAATGGGATTGATCATTGGCACCGATCCTATAGTTTGACCTTTATAATATAATATTTATCATACCTTATAACCAATAACCTACATATTTATATTGTATATACAATATACATACATGCCTATTTTCATATTTTGCATAGATATTTAAAGATAAAAAAAAATAATAAGGCCCAAATCTCAATGACCTTTATAAACGTCTTGGGCAATGCTTTGATAGCTAAAAATGAATTTCAACAACATCTGTGACTAAACAACTAATTTTAATTATTTAGGTTATTTTAGATTCTGAATGAAGCGATAAGTGTATAGATTTTACAATAATGTGTTTTAATTTAAAAAAAACGTTAGGTATAATAAGTCACTATTCACTGTTTTACATAGATACCTACTAAATTATTTTTCATTTAGATATTTAGTATTTTAGTGTGTATAATAAATACTTGTCAATATAATAAATAAAAAAAATTTGACCGACTAATTAATGACATTGTGACATTGTTGCCATTAGCCCGTATGCAAAGAAATAAAGTTGATAAAAAACGATAGTAAGAATAGGTAGGTACATAATGAAAATTCGTTTTATTGAATCAGAAAATATATAACATTGTTTCAATTAATGATACACTTGGTTATTTACTGGTAGATACAGTGGTACATCAGTTGTAATGTACCTAGTCGAATTATATCGATTACCCATTCGTTTGAGTCAGTTGGATTTTGAAAAAAGTTCAAAAAACCATTGTCACCCCAATCTGCATTACACAATTGCATGTGTTATCTCAGTCTTATAAACGTACAGGTCACAATAATACATTTTAGTATTTTACTCTGTAAGTTCTAAAATTTGAGTGAATTGAAATTGACTTGTCATAAAATTTAAAGAAAAGATTTTTATCTAGGGAATCTCTGAGGCTTTTATTGATATTTTTCTTAAGGAGCAAGTTATGACCTTTTTGAAACGGTACCTACATTTTAAAATGATCATACATCATAATTTACTTAAAAATAATAATATCAATAAAATCCTCAGACATACACTAGATAATAATCGTAGGTACCTACCTTTAAATTTTATCACGGGACAATTCACTAATATTTTAAAAATAACACAGTAAAATGTGTAAGGTATCTAGTACGTTTATAAGATGGAGTCACGTAGACAAGACAATACTCAATAATATTATATTATAATATGATATTTGTACCCATGTGTCCACGTAATAATTATGAAATGTATCAGCGTGTATAAATGCTAACGTGTGTAGATAGCGATAAAACGGTTTTGATTTCTTTCCTCGTCGCGACAACTTACTGCATACGAATCGCTCAATCGCAGATGGTAATTCTATGTTTTATGACTAACTACTTCTGACGATCAGGGTGAAAAATAACAGAAGAAGAAGAAAACATATTTTAATTTAGAATTAACTTAGTTAATTAATTATTTGAATGTAAAATTTACTTTATGGTTCTCCTTAAGTTAATAACAATTTAAGTTTGTAAGTTCTTAAATCTAAAGACGACCTAGATTCAGCTGCTATCAATTTTACAAACATCATCCAATCGTCGGCTTGGTCCTCATCAAAACCAACCACCCCCCCCTTCAAATTCGTNTTCACGTTATGTGCGTCGCCTTGTTTTTGTACATACTGCATTGCATAAGATTAAATGTAAACATCACCTAAAGTTTATTGTTTTATAGATAATTTCTTAAAAACTGACCCATCATCTTTATTTAAAACATATATTACAGCTTTCAAAGTTCACAGTATTAATCAAACTTAACAGTTTTATTAGACTTTCATGGGATCATTTAATTGATAAAAATGCTTTTTGTGTAAGATATTACTTAATTTTTTTTATATTTAAACAAAATTGAATACATAAATATAAATTTAGTAATAGTTTTACAGTTAGTTATAAATAAATATTTTGCATACATAAAAAAGGAATTTATTAATATTTATTTTAAGTATACTTAAAGAATGAGTTTATTATTATTCATTATATAGTAGTATTTAATATTGAGTAAATCTACTAAATAAATTTGATGTTTTCAAAAAAAATAACATCTTTTATTTGTTAAGTAGGTATTAAAAAATATTTCACATTTATCTAATAGTAATTCAAATTAATCATTATATTTTTCACTTGCAGTTTTAATGTTATCAAATATTTTTCTAGCCGCAGATGCTGTCTCTGTATACCTTGTTAGTTTGAGTATTTCTTGTAAATTTATCTGTACATATAATATATCTTTTAATTAATTCTTTTAGGCACTTAACTAAAATTATGTGTTGTAAATTTATACTTATGTATATTAAAAGCCGTAACTTGAGGGCTTAAGGGTTCAGACCCCCTCAAAGTTTTTTTTTTGTTTTTTTTTTTTAAGAATAATTAATTTTTTTTGCTAAAGCAGTAATCACATAAATAAAGAATTTTAAATTTTGAATGTAAAAATGATGATAGTTGATGAGTAAGAAATTGTTGACCCCTTCCCCCCCTCCAGAAAATTGTTTTCAGTTTTGGCTTTGTATATATTTATCAATTATTATCACGGTTGAATAGATGGATATTATATAGAACAAAGTTAATTAGAAAAGTGGTAAGTGAAATTATGGATTCTTATAATATTTTCAATCAGGAAAATAAATAAAATAAAACTACAGTAAATAATTGTTAATGTTTTACCCTATGAGATAGGGAAAAGTTAATTTTTTTTTTAAATACATTATATTATAATTATTCAGAGTAAATGTATTTATAATAAGATGGTACTTACTTCATTTTTAAGAATTATATACATTGATTTATTAATTTTTTCAGTTAGAGAAAGAAGTAAATTTAAAGAGAACAATATTATACTGTTATTGCCCTTAGTAGGAACTACTTTTATGTCGCTATTTATTGTTTGTATAAGTTTATTATTTTCCATCAGCATGTGTCCATCAAATTGATTACTCACATTATACAATGTTGCATAAGTAATCCTAAGAAAAAAACATATTTTAATAATGTATAATGCAGGCCTTTATACAATAGTTGTATATGCAAGTAATAAAAGTTGATATATTTACTTCTTTAAAATACCAAGTGAAGGAGGTGTATACACCACCAAAGACACAATAAGATTAACAATATTAATTCCATCATTAACTTGTGAAAAAAAGTGACAACCACTTTTTGTGGTTGTAAGGTTAGCTATTATTCTTAAAATCTGTAGCACAAATTTCATTTCATTTGTTTTTATTGATGGCATCTTACTATTATAACTTCGAATAAAAGAACTAAGTATATTAGTTATTAATTTAGCCATATTTGTCATGTTATCCTAAAAAATTATAATGCAAATTTTAAAATGTATGAATAGTCATAGTACATAGCATATAATGCATTTGTGGGAATAAGGGGGGGGGGGCAGACTTTGTTCCTCTAAAAAAATTGGACTTTTTGCTCTCATGATATAGTTATATATTATTATGTACTGTGCACCTATGTTTAGTTATATTATTTATACTCTAATAATTACTTCTTGTAAAACCATATCAATTGCTGAAGGTACTTGTGTTGCTTTCGACAAAGAGTAACAAAATGTTAACCCAATAATAGAACTAAATGAAGTTTGCTGTTTAAGTTGCAAGTTTAGTTTTGTGACTTCAAGTTGTAACTTATTTATAGTAGTAAGAGATTCGTTCTCTAGTAAATTAAATTCAGATTTTAACTCTTCAATTTCAGCTAGAAAAAAAATCATGTGAAGTATACTTAAATTAAAAAAAATATATGAGGTCAGTGAGAACAAAAATTATTTTATGTAATATAACTGATGGAAGTTCAATGGAGAATTTAGGGATGATAGAATGATCATGGTTAATTAATATTCAACAATACTTTTTAATAATAGCTATGTTATAAAAATATTACAAATTATTATAAACCAAATATAAATCTTAGAATCAGCACAATATTTGTTTTCTTTCTCAGACTTACAAGCAACTAAGATAAAAATAAAACTCATTCGTGCCAATTTCTTTTTTTATTATTTTGAATTTTGAGTAATCTATAGTAAAATCATCTATTACAAAAAGTATAGAGTATAATATTTTTGAGGGTTTGACATCAGTTTTATATTTTTAAATTATGTGACTAAAAATAAATTTTTTTTCTGTAAATTTAAATGGCTATTCAATTATTTTGGGACAATATTCAAACTAATCAATATGCCAAAGTCAAAAAATATTATTCCTTATAATTTTTGTAATGGTTGGTTTTATTATAAAAATAAGTACTCAAAACAAAAAATAAAACTATTTTGCGGACATGAGTTATGTCTAAGTTATGTATGGGCCAGAGAGAGTAAACAAACTGTGCTGACATTATCATAAAAATATTTTTTTTCACTTTTAAAATATACAAAAGTAATACTAAAAAGAATACCACCAACTAGCATCTATCCACAGGATTTAATATATTATATTATTATGAACAAAATAAAAATAAATGTAATAAAACTATATTATAAACTATGCATATTAATATTATATTTTTTCAATACACATAACTGTTTGGTAACACTTACCTGATTTGATTTGAGTTTTGACTAAATTTATCATACGTATACAATTTGCTTGCAATTCTTCAGCAATTTGGTGGATTTGAATAAAACTCACTTCATTATTGCCATAAATTGTTTCAAATGCATCATCAAATGCTTTAAGCTGAACATATAATCAAAATTTAAAATATACTTTACACTTTGATCTTTATAATATAAATATCTCTAAATAATTGTTTTAAGAAAATATTTTACCATAGCTTTACAGTCATATTGCTTGTTCAAATTGGTGTTTTCATCAGATGATGAATTTCTGTCATCCATGTTCATCAATCCTCTATTATTTGAAGAATCAGATGTAGATTCTTCGTTGTTAATTTCTTCTGCAGAAATATCAAATAATGATTTTTTACAATTCTTTTTAGTAAACTTCTCCATTGCCCAAGGCCCAAAGTATTAATAAAACAAAATATACAATAACCAATTCTTTCAAACAACACTTTTGAAGTTTTGAATATTATAAAATATTTATGCACAGATTATAAATAATTATTATGTAGCTACTAACTATGTTCTAACCCTTAAGTCGGCACTCGGCACGATCAATAACTTGGTATCTAACGAGTAAATAATTGCAAATTGCTATTGCAACTGGCAAGGTACCTTTTAATTGGAATATAAGAAAAATAGCTAAACTAGGCAATGGAAAAAATACTACCGAATACCGATTACCAAAATAAATGGTAGTGGCTACTCATTGCTAAGTACCAACTGTAGAAAAAGTATGTACCAACCATGAATTAGGATATATATATTTTTTATTTAATAGTGATAGTGATCATACGGTGTGTTCCACGCATAGACATAAATACACAATAAATAATAATATATAATAATATATTTTTATATCATGGTTCCACGATTCTAAAGAATTAAAGTTCTTTATAATCGTGGTATGGTCACTTTCTATGGTTGATTAAGACATTTTTGAGTTTTTATTCTTTATTTAACGACGTTTAGTTATTGTCTATTGAGCTCCTTAGCGGTAGCGGTATAGGTACCTACGCAACCCTCACGTTGTATATTTTCGGCTGTAAAATAAAAATACTGTTAGTTACTAAACAAGATACCTATTGTTTCTTTTTTTCGTACTAAGAGTGCAAGTATTTGTATTTGTTTTAACAAAATTGTGGGCTTTGATGAATACATCATGCTTGTCAGCTCGCGTGAAGATATGTGATGAAAATTATAATTCATATACTTGCAAGTACCCACGGATAATATTTTTAAATAACAACAAAATAACTAAAATTGTTATTTCTTATTCAAATGTATCAAATTTCGTTCAAATATGAACTTGAAATATCTGCAGTCATAATAAAAACTGGGTTAGTGTATTTTGGTTACACCATTGACTACGTATGAAAAAACCTCGTTTTTCAAATTTAACATTATTTTCATACATTTTAAACCACAAAATGATTTTTTAATTTTCGTGATTTTCTGAATTTTGTCAAAATATTAGTTTTATATGCTTAAAAAAAATATATCCTTGTAATGTAAAATCTTTAATATTTTTAAACTTTTATTAGGTGTAACAATTCATAGAGAACTTTACATTAAATGTTCAAGTTTTTTATATCGACAGCAGTTTAGAAAAAGATATAGGTAATAGCTTAAGAAGAGTTAAAATTGTATAATGATGCATGTAGTAATAAACATTTGATGAAAATCCAATGAATCTACGATTATTTACTTTTGATTTACAACAAAAAAACATCAATTTTGTCATATTAAAATTCATTTTTTTGTTCCTTAAAAAAATAAAAACTACCGAAAATATTCTGTTTTTATCTCTTTTCAGTACCAATTAGATCCAATTTTCTACCAGAAACCAATATTTAAAGTTGGAAATCAAACCATTATTTGACTACCCAATTATCGTATACAAAGACTCGAAAAATAAAAATAACACATTCATTCAGCTTAGAATCTAAAATATAAACTTTTAACTAACAATTAATTAATCATACAAAATACAGTATACCTACCTACATTTATACCCAGCTTATTATAGTGGGTACTTGTACTTTTTTATAATACAATTATTTAAAAAAACTTATGCCGGGTTGCATGAATAATCACTAAACATATTTAAATGAATCAGTTATACTATAATGAGCTTAAGAATATTTTGAAAAATTTATTGAATAAAATATGCAAAAACAATTTTTTTCATTTCTACATAATATTTTTTACATAAAAATCAGAAACTAATTGAAACAGAGACGAGAGACTACCTAATAATCAATGTATATTTCTTATTTTTATTAATATTTTTATTTAAATAAAATTATTATTTACTTTAAGTACCTAGTTATTATGACAATTGAATATTATTGTGTTATATGTGCTATCAAGTTTCAAGTAAGACAATTCGACATATTATAACCCAATATTTATAGACGTTTATTGCATAATTAATACCATTAAAATTTAAATAGTTTAATAAAATCGAGATGAACATCGAGATTAATTCAAATCGTGGACATACCTGACAACCAATCAATTTAGGCTCAAAGAAAAAACATGCAAATTCATAGAAATAATACCCTTATTGGCCTTATTCATAATAATTACATTAGTTTTGTTACTTTCACTATATGGTAAAGATATTTTACACAAGCCATATTGCTACACGAGAAACAATTAAATTGAAGTTTCGGCGATAGGTGTTTTTTGTTCACTCTCCGTGAGTTGTGTTGAATTTTTAATGTCTCAACGTGTTTAATGTAATCCCGTCTGACTGTTATGAATTATGATGTTATTATATGTGCCTATTTGCTATTGTACATGAATAATTATTATAAATTAGGTTTAGCAATATTTAAATAAATGACTACAGTATAAACAGTGATTTTTTTTTATGTTAAATCTTGGTTTTCTTGAAAAGTTTTTACGTATTTAAAATACTTCATTTTTACATAAAAATCATTTTGAACTTTTAAACTCATGTTGTACCTGCCAAACAACATCCAAGTATTTATTTTATCGTACTCTTAAATTATTATTGATTTTGTACTCCAAAAAGCGATTGAAGCAGAGCATTTGCCAGCAGAGATAAATATCGAATTACGAAGGCGTTGTTTACATTAGTTATAAGTATTTATTTTGTTAAAACAAATAACCGTAGATGATTAATATTTTCACCAAATTTTATAATATAGCGTATTCTAAATGTGGTGTAAAATTCAAAATGTTATGATGATTATTAAGCTATTTATAGAAATGTGGGATTTTAGATTTTTACTATAAATATTGACTAAAAAAATGTAGGTAGGTCAAAAAATTAAAAAGTTCAAGAATTCCTCATAAGTCATAAGTAGCCCATGAAATCGAAAGATTAAATATTATAATGCATGCAATGTTTTCGGCCAGACAAAAATTAAACAACCTACCATAATAATGTATTAAGGTATAATAAATGACCAAGGCTGTGAATTTAATGCATTTGCATGTTTTTTTTTGTTACACTCTCTAATAATAAAATGGATTCGGCCAAAATTGGTTATGACTTAGAGTTCAAATACCAAATTTTATTTTGCATATTTTTGCATATTTCATCTGTTAGGGAATATAAATGCATGTTTTAATAATTTGTTTGTATAAATTATTTTTTTCGTAGTTGGGTATTTGTTCGATCAATCTGTTCTAGATTGACATTAAAATATTAAATGTATTTGTATAAACTATGACTTGTATAGATTCGTGGAAACTATTCTATTTTTACTCGGGTATTTAACGTGTATTATTGACTGAAATTGTACAAGATATTTCGACCAAGTAACAGGTACAGCTGGAACTACTATTAATAACAAAGAACAGACAGTTCTCAACAGAAACAAAAGATTCCAAATTATGTGTAATGTTACAAAAATATTAACTGGTGAAAGTTAGGTAGGTTTTGATATACCAGAATATTTAACCAGTAGCGATATGATGTATTTATAGTTAGCCCCAATAACTTCGTCAGACGTAGAAAGCTCCTTTTCTTGATATAAAACTATGCTGGCACCAAAATTTAGATCTTTCAAGTTTAAAATCTAAAAATATCATTTATTGTACAATGCAATAACTACTTTTAAAGTAAAATATATAAATTTGAAGTAGAAATATAATCTGTTTTAAGCATATTTATTTTATATATCTTGTATACCACGAAGATCAAGAATAGAAAACCCAATAATTCATATACTAATATCAATAAGTAACAATACTAATATTTAAACTAAAATCAATAAAAAGTTAAAATGAAAAAAATAAAAATAAAAGTTAAATTTGTATGGTTTTTTTTGGATATTTTTGAAAAATTAGAGCATATTTTGTCAGTTTTTAGTGCATAATATGCATGCATATTTAATGGTTTTAAAATTTAAAGTACATTAAATCCACAGCCTTGCAAATGACTTATGACAATTTAAATGGAATACAAAATATTCTAGGCTGACTTGTATGATAAAATGTACTTAGAAATACAGTGCTATCTCCGCTCAAAATCATTTTTGCAATGACATATTATCATTCAATTCAATTTTCATCATAACCATTACAGTCACCCACGTAACACTTGCTAAACTACAGCAGTGATGCCTAATTGTCCACCCTTTTTTTATTAAACTGTTATCAACCTTTGAGTCACTCAAAGTTTTTATCCGACACTCAAAGATTGCGTTTTTACGTCTCTATGACATAAAATCACCGATTACGTATTTTCATTTTGAATTTACTGTTGTTTCAACGAAAATTCAACAATACGTGGGCTCAGAACCAAAAGGTGGTAGGTAAATCGATTTTTTCAAAAACCCACATTTTGATAAGTACCTACACGCGTGGGTTAAATGAACAATGCTGCTCACATCCAACCTTGTAGATCCATTATTTAAAGATTTATACAGAACTAAAAGGTGTTAAATCGATCTAATCTACACATTTGTTATTTGATAGTGATATTAATAGCACCTTTTGGTTCTTAAGAGGACGCCACACCCGCATGTGACGTCTCCGTCTTATAAATGTACAACATAGCAAAAACTGTTTAGCGCGGGACAACTTTTCTCGCACCACATTTGTTGTAGAATTACCAAATTTTCACAACACGTAAAGAAGAACTTTATCTGTGCAACAGCGTGCTTTTTTTTTTAATTACACTTTCCAATCATTTTTTATAAGCAAATGAAAAAAACAAAAAAACAAAATGTTTAGAAGCAAATAACTTTTATTGTATTTATGTTATCTAAAATATAGGCACGCTGTTGCATAGATAATTTTCTACTTGATATGTTCAGAAATTTTGGAGCCACTACTACAAACACGGAAAGATAAACGTTGTCCCGCGCAAAACAGTTTTTGCTATGTTGTTCCTTTGTAAGACGGAGACAACACATGCGGGTGTGGCGTCCTCCAATAGTATTAAACCAAAAGGTTCTATCTCATATTCACTGTATCAACCCCACAATAATAATATGATAGTACAATTATATTATTAACTATTGTAAATTTTTATCAACAAAATAAGGATTTTCATGAAAACTTACAATATTTCCATTACCAACATCTTAAAGGGGGAAGATAAAAGTTTTGGGTGATAAGTGTATAATATTATAGTCTCCCACGTTCCCCCTCCAATTTTTTTCATTAATTTAACACGATTGATTTTTTAATATAAATATTTTAAACATTGACACACTGACTATTTAGAGCAGACCTCTGAATAATATTTCGAGTGCATGAATCTGGATATTATAGACTGCAGTCTTTATAGTGTATGTATAGGTATATACACTACACTATATAATTTAACCTGAATTTTTTTTGCTTCTTGAAATTCGTTTAACTGCGGGTGCCCATGTCCCTCTTCCCATTTTTCTTCTCATTGATTGAACTCGGGTACCCACGTTCCCTTTCTTATTTTTTTTTCGTTAGTTTAACTCTAGTTGATTTTTTTTTATTTACATATTTTAAACTTAAAAACCTAGTGCCCTCTAAATATTCATTCTTTAATGAACCAAATATTGTTATAGTTTTTTTTGTCGGGTTTAAAAAATTGGAGATTGTAGACTGCAGTAATAAGTGTCCCTACTGTAACAATTTTTCAAAAATTTTTTTTACGCTTCTTAAAATGTATTTGCCTGCGCTCCTTCAAATTTTTTAAAATTTGGTTACATCTTATTGATTTTTTTGTGTAAATGTCTTTTAAGCATTGACCAGCTATCAGTGAGTTCTCCAGAGTACCAATGTACTGGTTTTTCATAACTCATGAGCATTTTACTCACTAAAATCAAAAAAAAAAATAAGCTTTTTTTTCATAGATGTTTGATGTTTAAATTTGGATGAAATTAGATATTTATGCGAAAAATTATGATTTTAGTCATTTTGCAAGTGTAATTCAAAAATTATTCATGAATCTTTAAACTTCTAACATACCTATACTACAGTACTACCTATATTATTATATTTTATATCTATACATGACATTTTTAAATGCAATGTTTTTGGCAAAACTTAATTTAAGCTTCCGTATTACTACTTTCTTAGGCTACACTTTTTATATGGGGGGGGGGGGGGTTTGAATTTGAGAATAATAGGACATTTTGCAAGACAATATTATGATGTGTAGCTAGGTCACCTAAAATTATTTGAGCAACACCAATTTATTATTTTTTATGTAATCACTATTTATAAAAATTACTTTACTATTTAATAATCAAATACGTTCCTATACAGTATTACAGTGACTTCTAAGTGATTTACTAATTAATGACGATGTATTTTCACTCGACTAGTATTATACTGTTCTGCAGAAGCGCAGAGTGGTTAACTACTAAAGGTGTTATAGGTTTTTTTAATGTCTGTAGTTATTATTGTTTGATAATGGTTGAGATCTCTGATTAATTTTATGAGTCAAATAGTTTCTTAATTTATATGAATATTACAATAGAATTTGTCTAAACACTGATAGTAAGCAAATTTTTTTTCATAACTAGTACTTGAAAATTGAGTAGAACACATTCCTAATAAGTTTTTCTGATCATATATCTAACAAAAAAATTGTTAAATAAAAGTAAAGCTATTTATAATATTATAGAAATGAAAAATGTTCAGTTTTTTACTAATTTTTTTAAAATTATTTATTCATGTGTGCCAAACCGACACATCTTTGTTCAGAATTGTTTATCGCATACAAAGAACAATTTATTATTTAATTCAAATTTAACACATCTATTACAATGCCTACTCGACAACCCATTTGTCTACATTTTTTACATTACTTTTCAGTCAAGTACCATAGTTTTTAATTTTAATTTCATTATAATAGAATCATGGCAAACTATAATTTTTATGAGCCAATTATCTATCAAAATTTTACTTTTACAACACAGCCTACTATAATCAAATTAGAGAATTAATATTTTTATCATGTTACACTATCTGCAATATTCATATTTTTTTTTCACACATTTATGTCTGAAAGATTGACGAACACCCCAAAAAACATTAGGTCATGAACTCATAGACTTTCAAAAACTCTATCATCATGTGCTACTGAATTTCAAAACAAAAAATAAATGTTTTGAAAATTAATTATTTTAAAATAAATGACACAATTATTTTTATATTACTTCTTAAACAATAAGTTCCTTAGTTGTAATTAAATGTAAAATATATTAGCGTGTGACTGTTGCTTCTTTACGTGCAGCGTCTTGTAACAACTGTGTATCAACTTCATCTGCTGGTAGTTGTACATAGCGAACCACTGAACCTCTAATGAAACAGTTCCTTACAGATGCCTAAAAAATTAACAGTATGAGGTTTTTTTTATATTGAAGTAAAACTAATTAGTAATTACCATATGTGGGTATTTTTCAGGATCAGTTACACTAATGTCAACAAGTTTAATATTCAAATATTGATCCACAGAATGTAATGTGCCACAAATACTAGAAAAAAATGTGTTAAATTAAATAATGCTTTTAAATTCAGTATAGGTAATAAAAACAAACTCATTATTTACCTCAGATCATTTTTTAATTCAACGACAACATCCTTCCCAACAAGAGATTTAAAAAATGAGTAGAACAACTGTGAAAAAACAGATTAAATGTAATGTCGTCAAATATTTATTTAAATACTTAATGTGTTTTTGCCATGGATATTTCTGATACTGATTTTTTTGTTGTATGATGTGTCAATGCATTGCCACAACATTTACCATATTAAGAGGACACTACACCCACATGTGTTGTCTACATCTTACAAATGTACAATATAGCAAAAACTGTTAGGATAGATCCACTCAGGCTGTAGTCAATAGTCATAGTTAAGAATCCAAATTGATATACAATTTAGTTAAGAACATTATCTGTGAACTATCGTTTTTTATTTATTTTTGATATTACTTATAAAAGAGAAGTTCTTGTTATTTCAAAATCTATTATTTTGGTGTTTTTCAAACTATTTTTGTAGTTCCTATATGAAAAAAATAAAAACAATACTTTACGGCAAAAGTTCTTCTTATAATGTGGTGAACATTTTGTTTCCTATTATGACTGTGGATTCCTAGTTTCTTTCCTCGAAAAATAGTTTTTGATATTTGTAAGACAGAGACAACACATTCAGATGTAGCAGTCCTCTTAAATGTTTTAAAACTGATCACATTTTAAGCATGCAGTTCAATTCGGATAAAACACATAATAAGACACAGGTGACTGGCCTCATAACTTGAGTCATAAGTGTATAAGCAATAACACTGAAATTGTGCTAATAATGACATTTTTCAGATCCACAAGACTTTTTTAATAAAATCTAAATGGTAACCATTCTAAAAGTCAACAATAAATTAATAAATCACCTACCATTTTTGATTATGAAACAAAGTGAATCAATGACAACTACAAGTCTACACAGTAGACAGTACTACAGTAGTGACACTAAACAATACAATAATAACTTATATAGTTTGTTTAAAACATAAAAATATTAAATAATAAACAGAAATCAGAAACACAACTTAATCTCAACTGTCAACTACAGGAATACAAAACACAAGTTACAAAGTTGAAAATATTGAATATTGATACTAGAAACGACACTAGCGCTCCCTGATATCAAAAACTACATAATCGATTTTTTAAATTATCAATAATAAGCAAGCGATTATTGTTATTACTTATTAACACGGTTGTCTATTTTTTTTATAGATAAATCTTTTATATCTCAGTCAATTAGTCCGTGGTTATTACTATTTTATTTTTGATAATTATTACAGTTTAATATTTATAACCAAAAACTGTAAATTATCATAGGTTAGGAGCGTATTTAAGGGGGGCCTGGGCCCGTGCCCTTCTCATTCACGGTATCTTTTACTTTTTTAGTTTTTATTACTGAGAGTATTGACCTCTCTTACCTACTTATCAAATATTATGTTTCTATGAAACATATATTTTCTGGTTGTTTGGTAATAACTTATAACTATTATGTCATTATTTTTGTGACATAAGACATTTCCAAATAAGCCCCTGTCATATGACAATTAGACATAGATCATAAATAATTTAGAGTATAATTTTATAACTAATGGCCAATTTAATCAACCAATGAACCAACCAAACAAATATATTTTGGAAATGTCACATCTAAGGTAAAAATAAATATAAATACACTTTGCTGCTCGCTCACATTCATACGTTTTATAACAATATTTTCAATTTTTCAAATTTTCAATAGATAGTTAAAAAATGGAAGAGTCAGCCCAAGGTTGATACATCCAAGATCCAACTATCCAAGTAATAGATTTCCAAGTAATTTTCTAGAAATTAGTAGGTCCAAACCGATGTAAAATTATTTAATCATCATAAAAATAAACCATGGAATGACCAGAGTATAGTTTCTCTAAAGCTCGCAAAACACCAATGTAAATGTTCTATGTTTTGTAATTTATGGATACCTAAGAAATACATTTTGTTTATAACTGAGTTTTTTCTTTAACTAGCTTTTATTTTCTTTAATTACGTTTGAATGCGAAGACCTCACAAGCGTTAAGTTTCTAGCTGCTACACTGCTACAGTAAACGCGTTAAAGCAGGTGGTAGATTAACAGTTTTGGCAAGAAAGTCTTATAAAAGTGATTAAGTGCTCTACCTTCTAATGTTTCAATATTATGTAGTTCACCTATTACAATATAATTTTTTTAAGGAGGGGCGGTTGGCGGAAAAACATTAGCACCCGAGTGCCATATTTCAGAATATTTCAGAATACGTCCTTTATGTCTATGAGCTAGATTCACTTATAAATTATAATACTTAAGTTAGTTATTATTCATTGCTAGGCTATATACCATGTAATTTTCGTTTTAATAATTTAGAAATGTTAATTTTTTTTTAATTTTAAATATAGTAATTGTACTGTATTTAAAGTTATTTTTTACAATAAGCTACAACGATGTTTGGATTTAATTGATTTAAAGAAATATTAGACAAAAAAATTAATTAATTAAATAAAGTGCAATTTATAATATTTTGGACAAAGGGCTTGTGGAAATTGCAATCCATTGATGGAACTTCTTAACATGTTAAAGTGGGGGTTACTCAATTACTAGATCACGACACCACTTTCGTTTTAGTCGCCTTCTAGGCTCATCAGGAATAGTGGAAAACTTGGAACAGATAGTTCATAGTTCTGAGATCGTGGGGGTAGCGTCGAGGAGACTGGAATACATGTGCTTGTAGAATGTCTTGGCAACGTTTTTAACTGTTTGGATAGATAGATCTTTATGAAGAGTATCATTTGAGACGTATAGTATGAGGCTCTGGTTATTTGGTGGAGGTATTTAGATTGAGATATTTAGATTTTGGTGGGTTTGGAAGCTCCCCATAGCTGAGTACCATAGGTCCATATTGGTTTGAGTAGTAGTTGGTATGGCATTTGTTTATTTTTGAGGTCCACGTGTTTAGATGTTAAAAGAAAACGTAATTGACGAGACCGGTTGTTTAAGGGTAAGGCGTTTGGTGAGGATATGGGTGGCCCGAGTTAGCTGACGGTCTAAGTGTAGACCTAGCTGGTAGCGGACATTTTGGGCAGATGGTAGTGGTAAGTGGTTAAGGTAATAAGGTAGATAGGAAGGCAACTGGCAAATAGCTTGTCGGAATGTGAAAGTGAAGTAGATGGATTTTGTCGTTTATTTAAAATTGTAATAATAATGTAATTTATTCTGTGGTTGTACAGTCAGAGATTTTAAACAATAATAATAATAATTATTTGTAATTGTTTAAAATCCGTCATCTGAAATGTCAGCCGTCAGGACTCTCGACTCTGGATACAGTGCAGACCGGGCGTCGGGCGACAAAAACCGACCGATGGGCGACGACTGACGAGTACATTGTTGTTCGCACAGACGATTGACCTATAAACCATAAGACAAATTTTGTTCTGAAAATATTGTTCTGTGCTATAAACTAGATTTAGAGCTATAGAACTTACCTTGGATCATACGCACAATTCATTGCTATTGTTCATGTCATTAATCATTGCATGGATCCATAGGTATATTTATTTATCTCTGTATCCCATTTATGATAATGATTATGGTTGTTGATAATCATGGTCATTGGTCAACGATGTGCGTCATAAAAAATTAAGCATAATATTATTTAACAAAATTTTCGTTTTTCATGTTTTACATCTGTTGAACAATATTTCAATAACAATAATTATCAACGATTCGAAGTTATCACCGAGAAGTATCGAGCATCAGGCATTATAATTTATAATTATATCGCGTTCAATAGGTTGATACTCGAAACATCGAGTCAATCGTCATCTTGACAATAAATAATAATATCATCTTGAATATTATTCCAGAAGTATAGAAGATTGAAGAATGAGCCAGCCACCTGCAGCAGTCCATGTAGTAACAGTTACGCGATCGCGATTATCTGCATAGGTATGTAGTAACTAGTAATATACAATATTTTGTATTATCACATATACTGTTCTGTAAGACGTGTCCGGTGCGATATTATTATTATTTTACTGTTTCGTCGTCGACTGACGATCTATTAAAGTGCGAAAACCCTAACTTCACTTCACACGTCTGATCTCGTTCTCATGTACCTATTATTTTAGTTAAAACCTTAGTGGCACACCTCACCAACTCTTAACCGTAGCTGGTGAGTAATCTGTATATTGTGCACGATTTTCGGTGCCCATCATTATAACCATGTATATATGTTTATGACGTGTATATTATAATATACATCTATTAATTATTATAGCGTATCTATTATGTTATAATTTTTCATGTTATGATCGGTCTAAACTCGTTTAGGTTACTCTTCTCTTGTCGAAGTCGTGAGCAATTTGAAAATCTCGTAACATGGAGAACAGTAACAAGAGACCATTAGAAGATGAGTGTCAATATTTGCACACAGAAACAAAGAAACCTAAAGCGTCTCAGGCCACAACAACGACATCACATCCTAAATCCTCAAAGCAAATTGTTGGTTTTCAAGATTTATCGGATGATGTTATTATGTATTTATTTAAATATTTGTCACATGATAATCTTGCCAAAATGGCATTGTGAGTGTACAAATTTAAAAAATAGGTTAAGCAACTTAAGTTAATTTTGTCTTTGGCTTTATAGAATATGCCCTAACTTGTTAAGAGTTAGTCATGATTGGACTTTATGGAAAAAACCAAGGTTCGAAAAGTTTGAAAAATCTATGGAAGATGTATACTTGAGTTACTTAAAAAAAGATACCACTGAATTGTATATATCATGTAATGATGTTCCAAATGCTGATAATTCAGTTTCTCACAAATTTTTAATACAATTAGAAACAAAATGCCCAGAATTACAACATTTAACGTTAACAAATCAAGTATTTGATGCCAGTGAAGTAAGAAATATCCTTCAGTTTCTATATCGAGTATTATAATTGATAACCCACTAATGAGTACATTTTCTGTGTAGATAAGTGTAAAGATTTTGCATCGAAAATTAAAAACGCTAACAATTGATAATACTGTTATTGAAAACATTCCAGACAGCTCTTCATATTTATGTGGTATAAACAATGCTTGCCCAGATTTAGAGGTAAATTTGTTATATTGTTATATATTAAACACATCTAAAGTTATTAAATAATTATTTGTACTTAAATAGCGAATTATAATGACCAACAACGATTGGTTTTTGCCAAATTGTTTATATGCATTGGCTAAGCTGGAACGTTTAAACTACTTAAGCCTTGCTGGTTGCAAACAGTTCAGGGATTGTATTCCATATGCAAGTATTACTGCTATAACTGGATTCAAATCATTACAGGTTAGTAATACAAGTAGAAATATAACAAACTCCTAAAAGTAGATAGGTAGTAATTTTTTTAATGACAATAACTCAAAGCATACAAAAAGCTAAAAGAATGTGATTTTATATTTTTGTTAAAAAAAAAATTTTATTAAATTTTGTGTATTCCAAATATTAATTTGATTTTATTAGTTATTACTTAATAATTTACTGGATAAGTGCTTTCTCAAGATAATTTTAAATTTGTTATGAGTTAGCAGTTAAAATGCTGCTGATTCTATTGCTTACTATAATATATCATTGGGTCTAGTAAAACAATTCTGTACAGTTCTTTACCTGTTGTTTAATTTACTAATACAATATCTTATTTGTTAATTTTTTTTATTTTTAGACTCTTGATTTGCGTTTTACTCCAGTAAGCGATCATGAACTTGTTTGCTTTCAAAGATTAACAACTTTGAAAAATGTTCTTTTGGAAAGTCCTGATTATATGAATCACGAGAGAGATGCAACAATTACTGATTTGGGTCTGGCAGGATTTTGTACTGCTACCTTTGAATTCCACTATCCATACATACAAATTTTGATTGATAGACGTGGTGGAGTGAATTTAAGAAGAGTTCATGAAAGGTAACTTAAATTAATAATAAATTATTATAATACAAACATTTGAATATAAAATCTCATTTATATTTTTTCTTAAAGTTTATGTATTTCTATGCAGTATTCTTTTCTTTATTTGCTATTTATTATGAAAGATAAATTAAAAAATCAAACATTTCATAAAATTATACATAATAATATTTTATTTTTTTTAACCATAAAGTAATAGTGTTATTATATTGTCACAAAAAATATTTAATGTTGGTTGTTTAACACCAATAAAATGTATTTATTAAGTGATTTTACATTCTAATAGTAAGTATTAAAATTAAATATTATATCTAAAACATTGGATTTGATTTCACTGCTGAACATTTCAATAGTTTAGATTAATAAAGTTTTAATCTAAGTATATTACTGTTGAATGAATTTCAATATTAGGTTTATTATGTTATATATTTGTTTTTAAATAGGAATGATAATGTTGATAGATGCAGTATTGAAACTTTATATGTTCGCAACTATCCGAAAGTAACTGATGCATTTTTGAAGACTGCTGTCAGAACTTGTCCATACCTGAAATCATTAGACATTACTGGCTCATGTTGTACTTCAGCAGAAATTGAACATTATAAAGCAAACAGACCTAGTACAAAGGTTATATGCTGAAAAGACTGAGAAATATGTTGACATATAGGGTAATATATTGTTATGCGAAGACGTGATGTGAGGTGAAAGGGTAGCAAGACATGTTCAATCCTTATATATTTTGTGTTATATAAAACTCTTATAACTAATTCTACAGTATATTGATATTAATGAATCAGTTTAAAATTAAATTTATGGGTGTTTGTAAATAATTTATTCTTTGTATATTTTGTCACCATATTACTTATCATTCACAAAAAGAGTTTAAGCTTAAATATATAAATATATTTTAATGTTTAAAAAATATGTTGGATAACTCTTAAGTAATTTACATTTATATAGGTATAAATTATTTCAAGCACCTAATCTTTTTATGAATTAATCTTTTCATATTTTAGTATAGAATAAATTCTTTATTATTCTATATTCAATTATGAATATTTAATTTCATAGTGTACTAAATATCATTCATTTAAAAACAGCAAATAATGACTCTTAGTACTCAAATTATATTTTTAAACACTAATTATTATATATACAAATTGTATATAATATATAGCTATATAAATAAGAAAAGAGGATAGAATGATACTTTCTAAAAAAAGTTTAACAGTTTGTACCTAATTTATATAAGTTTAAATTTAAATTTTGTTTTTTTGAGGGTACCTATTTACTTAGTCCTATTAATCAATATTCTATTTTGTGCCTGAAGACATTAAGCAGTTACTGTAATTTTGTGTTAGTACTTTCATTCTCTTGACCCCTTCCAGCGAGTTGTGGAAAGTAAGTTTCTTTTTATTATATTTAAAACCTATCAAATATTAATATGTATGTATTATATTCTTATTTTTATTTATTTTGTTTTTTTTAAACATTTTTAATTTCTTTAGATAGATGTACAATGTACATATAATAATTGGTTAGTTATTATTATAATCTTTAAAAAAATATTTATTCATGTGCAGTTTTTAATTAGATATTATTTATTATATATACAAATAAATACTAAATAAAATAATAAAATACCAACAATCATAATTGTTAGAAATTAGCTTTTAAAATAAAATGCATTAATTTCATTAATAATAATATTCAATTAACAATACTTACATTATATAATAGTATACAATTTAAGTATATAAATTTTTTTAAAAATATATTTGTCAAATAAAAATGAACTACAAAATACATAACCTTTGTGTAAGTAAATATTTATTAGACAATGAAAAAATATAATTATTATTATAAATATTGTATCCTATATTTATCTAATTATGATAATGAAATATTCTTAATTTTTATAGAGTATGCTTTATTCCTTTTAAGTTTTAAGCAATACAATTTTTATGTAACACAAATCTCTTACTATATTTGTACAGTATAATTTTACACTTCATTGGTAGTGTCACTGAATATGAATACAATAATTTATTCCTATTTTTAATTTATTCAATACTCCTATACGTGTTGTGTGTTTTTTAAATAATACTACTACATTTGTTAATTGTTTACAAGTTTAAATATGTTATATTCAAATAATTTTAATAGTATTAACAACATACATTTTATAAATGTAAAAAATAAAGCTCAGATGCTAACTGTAAATGATCAGTTATCACAGCAATTATTATTTGAAAAATTAAAAGTTAAATAAATGTACACTTAATGGCTAATAGTTTGAACAGATATTAAATACTGAGAAAATCAAAAGTAATGATAGTAGCAGCAAGCACGTACACAAAAAAAATTTAAGAAGGGGAAGGGGGGATCCTATAAAATCAACAAAAAATTGTATACCTCTAAAATGCCTCCTGTATACGTGTCTGAGTAGTAGCTTATGTTTTAAGGTTTAAACATAATTATTGAATTAATTTTATGTTTATACATCATTTATAACTATTTTCTCGTGTATTTAAAATATTTATGTTCCAAATTTAACATAGCATTGCAAGTATAAAATATAATTACTAATTATAATAATATAGTATGTTTTGAAAAGTGTTTGTAATATTTATAAGCAACATTGTATATAATAAACCAAACATTTTTAAAATAATTTTTTCACTTGTATGTACTTGATACTATTAATTTACTATAAATATTAGTTACTCTTAGACATTTACTCTTATTTGAAACTATTCAAATTAGTTGTATTTGCTTCCTTTAAGATTACATTGAATTGTTTACACATTGTAATTTTAAAATTAAATTGAATGTTTTTTAAAAACAAATGTTTACACTTGATAGAAATAATTTTGTCAACTATAATTTTTAATTATGGCAATAGTTTGTATATTGTTTATGCGTAATACCATTAAATAAGTTGAACATTTTTATGATAACATTTTATTAAATTTTAAATAAATGCTAGGTTTTATCACTTTTTTAAGAGTTTGTGTCATTGAGACTTGAATCAAGGAATTCGTTTTTGTGTTGATGTTTTGTTTTATATTGTGTTTTATGAAATCTATTTTTTTTGGTATGTTACTGGAGTGGATCTGTAAAGGATTTATTTTTCAATGATGTTTGTGTGTGTGCGTGTGTGTGTGTATTTCTCGTTTTTTAATGTAATACTTAGGCAAAATTCATCATATCATTACTAATGTATTTTAGACATAAATTACAAACAGGAGCGGCTACGGGGAGATTTTTTAATATTTTTATGTAATAGTAATAATATTGATAAGTATTATAAATATAAATTACATAAAACCAAATTTAAAAATATCAATGGAGCAATGACTAAATACACTATGTATTTGAAAATTTTGTGAAATACTCAATTAGCACATACCTATTGTGATTTTTTTTTAAATGCATGCCTACATTTATTTGTACATTATAACATAATGTTATTCAATTGTAGAGTGACTCACAAAATAATATCTTGGATTGATGTTATTTTGTATTTTACTATTTGGATACAATATAGGTATCAAATTGAACTAGTTGTTTTGTGCAATTCAAGGCGCCAATTTACCTATTGGTTACCTACAAGATCAGCAATAAAAATGCAATACATATTTTTTAATTTTTAAATGAAAAGTTAGGTTACTTAATTTATAACTTAGGTAGGTATGATACTGGCCATTTATTATTTCTTATGTAAGTATTCTGGATCCTGGATCTAATGATTGTGGTGTTAAAGTATTAAAATATGCCTGCAGTTAGACACGATAGTACTAGTTCACAATGGGTATGTCATCTATTTCAAGATTTTTTTTATCTATAATGTTTTTTAGAACCATCATTTAAGCTTTCAAATTTTCTGGACTTTTGTTTAATATTTTGTAGAAAATTAAAATAATTAAAAAAAAAAATAATTACATTTTTTTAATCTCATATAAATCTTAATATTGTCTTAAACTTTATGGGTACTTCATACTTATTAACAAACTCAATACTTTCTTCATATTTAAATTTTTTTAAATTGTCTACCCTCCGCCGATTTACTATTAAAAACCTATTTTTCATTATTTTACACAGTTAATTGATTTATAATAAACATTTATTTTCCAGTGTTAAATATTTGCTTCTTCGTTAGAGGTAGGTATTATCATGTTTAATGATAGTAGGTACCCTTCTATCAGTTTTAGAACTGACACAGTAGTCACTTAAATGTATTGACTCTTGCTTTTTACAGGTTGAACCTATATTAGTATAAATATTTGAATTTAAATTGATAAATAATAAGGTATTAAAACCTCGAAGAAGTTCGAGGAAAATAATTAAACATTTAAAAGTATGATTTCGGATAAAATGTTATAAACGAAAGTAACTACTGTGAGAGGGCTACACTAGTTTCTGTGGGGGCTGTAGTGCTCATAGCCCCATACATACCTACTACGCCTATGCATATACTTATAATATTCATAACTTCCTTAGCGATCGCTATTCCCGGCAATCAACATCATCAAAGCATTCCTCAACCCATTTGGGAAAAAAATCGTTTTTCATCCATTGTAACAGAGTGTTTACATATAATTATGTCGTTTAGATATCACAACTCACAAGTAGGTAATAGGTAGGTAGGTAGGTAATATACCGGAAAACCACAGATAGAAAACTTTTTAGCTTTCAGTAGGTAGGTAGTAGCCAGTAGGTTATTATCTAATGTAAGTCCTACCTACTTACCTATTTCGTACAATGTCGATAGTCGATTACATTCGCAGGACCCGCGCGTAGCGGTGAATGACAAGCAAATATGAGAGAACTATTATTAGGTAGGTACCTATTATATCAATAATTATCAATCGCTGATAACTATAAAGTATAAATACATAGGCTGTTTAAATTTCCAACAGCATAATTTGTATATTATTAAAATAATTTCAACTTTAAAAGTTCGAATAATTCATAAGTCAACAAATATTCGATCACAACAAGTCCCCAAGCAGTGGTCACCATTGCCCCCCCCCCTCCCCTCCAATGCATCTCTGGGCACTTAATTAATAATATTTTGTGCAGTAAATAATAAATATACAGCTAGTAGGTAGGTAGGTAGCTATATATATTAAATACAATAATGTGCTTATACCTGCACTGTCTAAGCGAGTGTTATACCTATCGACATTAGCAAATTAGATAAACGGTAGCGAAAGTGACATTTTAATGGTTGAGGAGGGAAATAACGATTCGGTTGAAAGGCCATTAATGTCTCAAAATTATCTGGGTGCAAACCTCTCTTTAGTTCTCCTTGACGTACGAAAATGTAATTTTATATCTGTGGACGTCGTTTTTAGTGTGGATAATGATCCGCATTAACTGGTATTTACTATTTCTATTTATACATTTCTCAATATATTCGAGATTTACCTATTTACATTATTTTATGATTAATACTTATTTAGGAATAGTGGTTTTAAGAGTGATTATTACCTACAATCTGCATTATAATTCTTCACATTAATTTAGTTTCATCTTAAGTTTCTTACTTACAAACTAGTGAAAATCATAGTTAAATTTGTTCGCAATTTGCCTACTTGGATTATTTAACACAGCATTTTTACATTAAACATTTTAAAGCTCACGTATTAACAATTTAACAACGTGATGCAACGGTTTAAATATACCTATAAATAGTATAAATATATCTTAATTTTAATAATTATATCGTATCTATATAGGTATACCTAGGTAATGTATACAAACCAAAAGTTATTTTTACCAATTTTTGGTATACCTATGATGAATGTACTGGACAATAAATGGG